ACTTGTGCCGGAGCAAACCTTTCGCACGAAATGAGGGTCGATCGTCAAAAACTGAGGTAAAATTGCGATTTTACTTGTGCCGGAGCAACCCTTTCGCACGAAATGAGGGTCGATCGTCAAAAACTGAGGTAAAATTGCGATTTTACTTGTGCTGGAGCAACCCTTTCGCACGAAATGAGGGTCGATCGTCCAAAACGGAGGTAAAATTGCGATTTTACTTGTGCCGGAGCAACCCTTTCGCACGAAATGAGGGTCGATCGTCAAAAACTGAGGAAAAATTGCGATTTTACTTGTCCCCGAGCAACCCTTTCGCACGAAATGAGGGTCGATCGTCAAAAACTGAGGAAAAATTGCGATTTTACTTGTCCTGGAGCAACCCTTTCGCACGAAATGAGGGTCGATTGTCAAAAACTGAGGAAAAATTGCGTTGTGCCGGACTTGTCTGTGTGTAAAAGCGTCTGTGTGTAAAAGCGTCTGTGTGTAAAAGGGTCTGTGTGTAAAAAGCGTCTGTGTGTAAAAGCTTCTGTGTGTAAAAGCCCCTGTGTGTAAAAAGCGTCTGTGTGTAAAAGCGTCTGTGTGTAAAAGCGTCTGTGTGTAAAAGCGTCTGTGTGTAAAAGCATCTGTGTGTAAAAGCGTTTGTGTGTAAAAGCGTCTGTGTGTAAAAGCGTCTGTGTCTAAAAACATCTGTGTGTAAAAGCGTCTGTGTGTAAAAGCGTCTGTGTGTAAAAGCGTCTGTGTGTAAAAGTCTCTGTGTGTAAAAGCGTCTGTGTGTAAAAGTCTCTGCGGGTAAAAGCCTCTGTGTGTAAAAGTCTCTGTGTGTAAAAGCGTCTGTGTGTAAAAAGCGTCTGTGTAAAAGCGTCTGTGTGTAAAAGCGTCTGTGTGTAAAAGTCTCTGTGGGTAAAAGCCTCTGTGTGTAAAAGTCTCTGTGTGTAAAAGAGCCTGTGTGTAAAAAGCGTCTGTGTAAAAGCGTCTGTGTGTAAAAAGCGTCTGTGTGTAAAAGCGTCTGTGTGTAAAAGCGTCTGTGTGTAAAAGGGTCTGTGTGTAAAAGGGTCTGTGTGTAAAAGCTTCTGTGTGTAAAAGCGTCTGCGTGTAAAAAGCGTCTGTGTGTAAAAGGGTCTGTGTGTAAAAGCGTCTGTGTGTGTAAAAGCGTCTGTGTGTAAAAGCGTCTGTGTGTAAAAAGCGTGTCTCCATAGTAACAACAGAAGACTCTGCTCCTCTACGCTCTCGGGCCATCCGTCGTCTAGTGGTAAAATGGAGTATCTAGGCGGGAACCGATCTTTCTTTCCTTGGAATTCCAGTGGCGTGTGTTTGCCGAGACCCTTGACTTTGTTAACTCTATTTCCCCACCTGCCAGGTGAGGGTCTCCAGAATATGGAAAAACCACATGCAAAGCCCTTCAGCACCCAAGGAAGTTTTTGCTGCTCTCCACATTGCTTTCGCCGCTGGCTGCAGTGCGCCGTCTCAATGCGACCGGTGTAACAGCACCCAGTGTGATGCATAACGGGCAGTCTATCGATGCCTGGCTTAAAGTGGTCGATTTTGAAACACATCCACCAAACCTTCGCCTGCGCATTTGGAGACAATTTCGAGACCCTGTAAAGGAATCAATCGAATCATTGTAATGTGCACCGCACCGAACATGAAGCCATTGCATCATAAATGTCCATAAATGTGTTAAAAAAATCTTCAAATGGTAGTTTTGGGACATTGGGTTTACCTCATTCATGTGTAATTATTTTTGCGTATATATATATATATATAGATATTCTATTTAGGCATATTGACGTCGTACATATCACCCCACTAAAAAAATAAAAGCAACACATGTCCCATTATTTTTTCATTACCCCACTGTATATACTACAATGTGAGGCCCCCTAGATAGCTAAGTTTGTTTATAACTCCAATAACTATGGTTTATGATACTTACAACTATAACTACTGGGGCTTATAAACCAACAAACATCACTGGGGGGCTTCACATTGTACCATCAAAATCCCATGATATCACCGGTCACCCATGTGGGAAATCAACCCAAGGATGTATCCGCTTACAGCGAGGCGATGCAGACCAGCCGCAGGGCTAAGAAATCATCCGGCCCTTGAAACAGCCGTTTAACCGGAATTGAAAGGATAGTTACCCTCTGGTTAACTAACATAACTATGGAAAATCCCCAATTTTTTATGGGTAAATCAACTACAAATCACCATTTTCAATACCTATGTTTGTTTACCGGAGGGTAGTTGGTAAAACGTTGATTTTTCTTAACTGCCTGAACAGAATTAGTAAACCGCCAGTTTATTTGGGTTTATAAATCTGAGATGAACATTAAACATCTTCACATCGAACATCCAAGGTTAGAAGGTCACTGGCAGTGGTGTGTTGGGTTCACCGATCATTTTTTGTATAGTTCCATGATATCCCCAGCAAATTCCTATATCAATGGCCATTTCAGGAACCTAAATTGGAGGCACCTACCATATATAAGGCCTATTTTTGAGGCCGGGCGCATTGGAATGATTTGGAAGCCGCGGTTCAGGTGGATCGAAACAGATACTGGTTGGTTGTATGTTTTGTATAAATATTTGTGGCAACAACCAAAAAAGATGATGAAAGGATACAAACTGGCAAGACTGAAATAGTGATAAATCACGTGCATTTGTTTTAAAGATTTTTTTACATATCCTGTTCATGTTTCAAGCATCGAATGATGACCCGCAGAGGTTTAACAGAAAACAAGCAGCTATGGTGGCTATGGATGGTTTCTCAATCGCCAGGTCACCTCTAAACCCGAGGTTTTCACATCGTGGCCAAAGTGAAGTTTAACAGCATGTTCCTTCGGCGCAGCGGAAAATATTATTTGCAACCAGGACTAGCGAACCTTCCTAGTAAATTCCTACCAAACATTTTGGAAATACAGAATTCCCACCAAAAATGCCAGTTTCATGAACGATTTGTTCAGTTTGGGGCCCACTTTGTAGTGCTTTTGTTGGAATGGAAGTGCCAAAATTTATGAGTTCCAATTGTGACATGTTTGTTCGCTATTCTTGACGAATTATTTTTTATTGTTTACTCTTACTTGGAAAATTTCAACGTTTCCAAGTTGTGAAATTTCGAGTGATAGAATAGGAGAGGCACAAAACCACGTTGAATGGACATGTTTGCATGGTGGTTTCAAAATTTCCATAGGTCTTCCATGGTTTTCCAGCGAAATTTTGTTGACATTCCAGGTTTAAACACCAAATTTCGGGTGGCTTCATCCAGCGGTGCAGCCATGACATGCTAAAAATTTGAAAATCATGGGGAAATCATGGGGAAAGCATCATCGAAATACCATCCTGGAAATGGGCTCCGGCATTTTTCTTAGGGTTGCTATATATCACTATCACTGATATTTCGAAGAAAATGTGATCGTAAAATGGGTCTACCAATCGAACACTTGGAAGGTTCAGAAGCTCCTGAAACCTTTCTGCCGGCAGCCAGGAATGCAAACTATCCGAACATTCTCTTTGGCCATGATGGCAGTTCAATGTGCTTTACGTCGCATGGTTTGGGCCCCGCATATGGCGCAAAGAAGGGTAAAGCATGCTTTTACTTGCCACTCAGCTGATTTTAATGCCATCTCCAGCTCATGTTGAGCAAATCCATTGTATGATTTGTATGGTCCCAAAAATATGATTTATATGTAAATTCTATTTCTGAGGGGTGGGCTTATTGCTGATGTTGCTTTCTTTTGGGGATGGGTTGATACATGCCAATCGGAAATCACAATTAGTACAATTATTGGGTGAAAATGGGTGGAATGAACATCCCTGGGTGCCAATGGTTAAATACACGTTGAGGGACCAGTCCTTTGTGAGTCCAAACATGAAAAGAAGCAAGATGATCATTGTCTTTTCTTTTTGATGAGCTTAACTAGCGTACTTTGACCCCTATGTTGTGCTCAAACACTGAAAATGACAGCCACGTCGCACACCATGCGCACCCTTCTGCAGAAGCTTGGCACACAATCTAACCCCTTGAGTCTTGGAAGCGGTCGTCACATGAACCCATGAGATGAACCAAGGTGGACAGTGTCCAGGATCAAGGGATTCATATTCCCTACAATTATTTTTGATTCATTTTGCTTTGTTTCTTTTCTTCCTTGGCACGGTGTCGAAGGTTCAACGTATCATATTTGGCCTACATTTGATACGATCCTCGAGCTATCACAGATCGAAGGAAGTCTGATGTCATGAAATTGTTCAGCGAGTCAGCAATTTGAACTGATCCATCAATCCAGCGGATGCAACTATTCGCGGATGATTGCCAAATCGATACAAGTACATTTATCAGCGTGTTAGAATTGGAATGATTCGATGACGTAAGGACATCATAGACAAATTTAGCATCAGCGAAAATTCCAAATTCATGAGGTTCCAACATTGTTTCCCACCCGATATGTCCAGAATTGATCAGATCTTTGTAGAACCTTTCAGTGACCAAATATCTGAACCAGCATGCAACTGCAGCGCTCTCCGCAATAGCCTGTGTTTCGGCACTCAAAGTTGAAATCATACGCCTCTTCAGGGTATGACTCTTCCAGCTCAGCATTGAAGACAAGGTCTCATCGCCTTGAAGCATGCGGCGACTTGTGGAAAGCACTGCGTCATTTTGTAACCTGCTTGAGATTTATGGTCGCCTTCTTCATCTTTGGCATTTGCTCATGCAGCGTCAGAGAAAACAACACTGTACAGATCCTGGGGACAAACAGGACGAATAGTTACACCAATGTCCTTGTAGAGTTTGGCTTCCTTCTGAATTTTGTTGCATGCTTTCAAATCTCCAACTGGTGGGCACGGAAAAGCCTGCATAAGCAAAGAAACACTACCAGCCAAGTCTATTCGATTGTCCTTGGAAATCCAACTGAGAATATTAGCTGCTTGATCTGTTCGATGGTGCATGGCGCGTCATTGCTGACACCTTTTGGACTGCATAACACCGCATTTTTGTTGTAATGCTGACTAACATGTATAGATTTTTCCTGATATTGTTGGATATCTTTCCCATAAAGCCTACCTGAGTCATATTCCCATTTTCCAAACTTATGCCGAGATCTAAGTTGCTGCATGAGCTGCTCATGGCGCCCATTGCCACGGCTTGCCAAATCATCTGTGGCAACCATGATGATGCCATCAAGCTCAGTTGGACGGCCGCTGTCTTTGGAGTGCAACAAATAGCAGCAAGGATCAAGAATGGAAGGAGTGTAACCCAAGGCTCGAAAGGTGGCGTCAAGATGTTGGTTCCATCGATATGGGGCATCAAGTAACCATAGACAGTCTTCCGAATTTCAATCAAGCAGTTGGGTGATAATCCAAGTAGTTCTCTTCCTGGAGGTGCGCAGTATAACGGCGCATGACGTTGCAACAGATCACCTTGCATGAAAGCCTGGCTGAAATCAGCAAAGTGGATCCTCCAAGGTTTTGAACTAATAGCTTGAAGTCCCATCATGAAAGTGTCTCTGTGGACTACTGCGAGGATGCACAAACATTGAAAATATCGGGATGTTTGTCACCTCGAACGACTCACCTTGACTTGGACTTGCAGGGAGCTCCATCAGGACTACGGCTAAGAATCGCCGTTGAATCGGCCTGTGTCACATCGTCAATTTTTAGCCACATGCAACAATCTACTCCGCAGGATTCGGTGAGAGCTGTGCTGTCGAATCTTCTGTGCTTCATGTGGTGGAATCGCTGCTATGGCATCATTGTCGATATTAGTCTTCCATTCCTTGTGGCTTGCTTGAAAAGTTCATAGTCGTGACTATCAAGGTCTTTCAATCGCAGTTCCTTTCTGGCTCGGACAAACAGCTGAGATGGCCCAACAACTTCGCATTATGCCGCGTATGAAGACTCTGACATGTTTGGAAACCTGCTGTCATCATCTATGTTATGTGGAGACACTGGTTCAACAAGAAGCTCGGCATCGGTATCCAGTGCTTCAGTTTCTAAGTCAGAATCCTCAAGAGGTGGTGAGGGTAACGGAACCATGTCATCATCATCATCATCATCGTCATCATCATCATCATCTTCATCATCATCATCATCCATTGCACGACCCAGGTCCTCAAGACTCAACTTGGATTGCTTGTGTGGATCGAATGGTGCTTGATGGTGCTTGCTTGACAAGCGCGCTTCTTCCCGGTGGGATGAGGTTCTGGCTCAGCCGGTCGGGCTTCATGACGGATGTCGCTCTGGAGCTGCTTTCACTAACCGGCCTTGGTATGACACATATACACTGGTTGGATATTAAGTAGCAACTACACGACATGGACCAGTCCAAAACTGATGATTGGGACATGTTGAAGCTGAGTGATGAACAGCCACTTTATTAAAATGTCCAACCGACCAAAAATAGACAAGATGGCCAACTTCAAAGTGCTGAGTGGCCCACTGGCAACTGCACGTCGAAGAGCAGATGCACATTCCGTGGAGAAAAACGCACGACCGGCACACTCACGAATTCTATCAGAAAACCTTCACTGTTTTCATGTTCAGAAAACCCTTGAGAATTGTCATCCTCTTCTGATTTTTCTTGTTCCAGTTGATCAATTCTTCTTTGGAGCTCACCCAAGGTATGTTTTCTTTGACTAGTCTTGATACTCATGGACCCACTGCACGTGGACGACCTGAGGGCTTGTAGTTGGTCACGTCCACCCACCGGCGAGTCACAGTGCTGTGCACATACATCTTCATCTTGATGTAGGCATTGCTGCCCCGGTTCGACCACTGATGTTGGCATTCTTGATGTGGTCGTCGTGGAAAATGCGATCCCTTGTGGCTGCCTCGCGCTTTTCTTTGAGTTGGGCTGATATAGATCTCCTCTGGCTCTTGGCATGAGGACAATTCGTCGACGTATAGGGCATCACGGACTTCTTTGGCATGTCTGGCTGCGGCTTCGATCCCTTGCTCTCGTGCTGCTCGCCCTTTGTCTCTTAAATCCATTGGAAAGAGTGGTGTTGCTGGGTGCTCTAAGGTTCTTTCGGGCACCGGTAAAACTGCCTCAATGTAGTTGACCCCTTGCTCCCGGCAGGTGTACTTGATGAGCTTCAGGCCGCAATAACGCCTGTCCTGTGGAGGATCCACTGGAAGAGCTTGTTGACTGGAGCTGGCTGCTCTCATGTAGATCTGATCCTGGCTTTGATGTGGCATCATGGTATCTTGAGTTTCGCCAGTCACCAGTGAAAAGCTGCCCACTGCTGCACTTTGATACTTTGATTTCGTTGGTGCCGATTTGCCTGACATCAAGTGGCGTTTGTTTTGGTGCTGAGATCAAAGTCCCTTCTCTTGCTTCCTCTTCTCCAGGACCATGTTGTTCATCGTCTCCTGGAGCACATTGATTTCCTCCATATTTGCCACACGCATCATCATTGGCAGCACTTTCATCAACTCAACACGGTCATCAGTGGAATTGTTAATCCAACCGTGAGCTTCACCATAATTTTCATCTGCTCTTGAATCCTGAGCTTGTTGCACATGCGGGAGGCGCATGCTGGTCCTCCATGATGAATCTCACAAGAGCGAAAGTCGTTCAGAGAAGTCTCTGTGATGCTTGATGCTGGCTGTGATGGCTGACAATCCATCGAACTGTTGGCTGAACTGCATTCAAGTGACGACAACAACGACTCACGGGTTTCAACTGTTTGCAACTGATCTACAAGTAACTCACATGGTAATTTATCAACATCATACAGTTACTCGTAACTAGTCCCAAGTCGACTACCACATGTTCTGACGGAGTTTGCATACTAATTAATAACATTCTTGCAACATTTGGTTTTCCCAAAAGTTGCATCACTTGGCTGCTGCAGCATGAAAACCTGTGACATTCTTCCCCAATGATTTGGTGGCCTGGAAATGCATGCTGTTCTGGCTAAGCCGCACACTCGTTTCCGAAGCCTTGGGAATTGGCAATGGTAAGAGAAAAGGGGCATTGGGAGTGTCTTCAAGGACAGCTGCCCTCACCATTCCCGGTCTCTGCCCAAAGCATACAAGGATTAGTGCAACCAGGTTTGTCACTGTCTCACCTCCAATGCCAGAGAGTCGGGATTTCTGCTTGATGTACCCGATGGAAAGTTTATCTGGTAACTTCTTGGCTATGTTTCACTTCGCGCTTCTGCTGCTGCACCTGACGGTTGACATGGTCACTAGCTTGTTCACTTTTTGCCTGGTCAAGGTCATGAGAATCTCCTTGGCTCCATCTTCAGTGACTCCATGAGATTGTGCAGCATCCTCCATGTCCAACTCAGCTAAAGCCTGTTCGATGAGATCCATGTCCTCACCATCAGACTGACCTTCTTCGAAAGCACCATGACTGGATTCATCCATGGATTCCTGGACCCACAGATGACGTTTCTTGGCTGCAGTTTGTTCATCACGGTCTAAGAGTTCATCTTCAAACGGCGAAGACCATCAACCACAGCGTCAAGCTTGAGGTCACCGTTGGTGATTGTGATGAGGCGATGAAAAGATTCGGCACTGATCTTGGCTTGCTTCAAGAAGAGAAAACCCAATGCCTCAGGTGGCAACTCCCCATGATGAGTCATGATGTTTCTCTTACGGACTGCTTGTTCAAATCGCGACCTGAAGGCAGGTAGATCACCGTCATCCTTACGAACGTCGGAGTAGAACAACTTGTGCATCGATTGATACAAGGAGTACAGCTCCTCCTTTCCATAGTACTCTGGTTTGGGGAGCAGTTCAAGCAATTGCTCACCATTGTCCTCCGGCTCCAACCAGCTACCATCATCGATAAGGTGATGAACGCTCTCAAAGGCATGGCCTGAAAGAGCTTGCATCAACCGAGTGCCCCTTGCACAGCTCTCAACATTGGTGGAGAAAAGCCAAAGCTTTGCCCGAATCCTGAACTCCTCAAAGGCTCTGCTTCACGACTTTCATTGTAGGCAGGTGGTGGACTTATGGATCCCTTCTTTCCATCACCTGATCGATTGGTGCGACCAGCACTGCCACTGCCACTTCCACTGAAGGAAGTGTCTTGTTCTCCTTCTTCATCATCATCTCTTTGATCTCGTCTACCTTGCCATTGCCTCGACATAGGCAACGTCTCTTCCTCGGCCTGAAAAGGCTCCGCGCCACCAGCTTTGAACTCTATGTTGGGCTCAAACATTGAAAACGAGAACCACGTCAAACACCATGCGCGCCCTTTTGCAGACGCGTGGCACACAATCTAACCCCTTGAGTCTTGGAAGCGGTCGTCACATGAACTCGTGAGATGAACCAAGGTGGACAGTGTCAAGGATCAACGGATTCATAGGGTCCCCCTTTTCAGACACAACCATATGATAGTCGCAACCTCGGTTATGCTTAGATAATCCATTCCGGTTGGTTTAATCGGATTTTCGGGTGCTTTCCCTAGGCAAACCAGCACCAATCTTGGGCCACACGGCCGCGGAATCGACTACAACGGCGGGTGGCTTCCATCGAAAATTCGGCTGGATGATCAGCAGTGGCACAAGTACGAGTTGATCAAAGGAACCTTGGATCTGGCGTTTACCCCGGATTTTTCACAATCATGGCCCATTTAGTTCAATGATTTACATGTTTGAATTCGCGATTTTCCATGGCAAACTGTGAATTTACTAGAGGGCGCATGGGTTTGTATAAGAATCTGGTATACCTTCAAATGTCAGCTTCTGCGGGGAAAAGGTTGGTAAAGGATCGAACTTGGAGGTACCAGTTTTGAGATCATCCCATATGCGTGGGATTGTTTGTGTAAATATGTGTATTTTCATTCTTTCGGTAGTTGGTTTACGATTTGCTTATCTTTGGATATGCGTTTTGCCACAAATAGTGAGATATCATAGTAACATGGATGTTTTCATCTTGTATGGTGGAAAACCATATTTGCAGCTTATGGGCCTTTCCTATTCCATCATTTTCCCATATGCTTCGAGTAATGTTATTGGCACTAGATGTTTGAACGTTTCTTCACTGGCTTTCCCCGAAATGTGGTGCCCAAGGCGTGGCCGGAACTGCCTTGATCGTGGATGGGCAGAGGCCGGCACATCCCTGGTTCAGCCTGGCGCTTGGAACTTTAGAAGGGCCGTTTTTTTAATTTGTTGAATGGCTTTTTAAATTGTAATTGTTTACAATGTGGTGCCCCCCAGTTATAAGTTGGTTTTTAAGCCCCAGTAACTATAGTTATAAGTACCATAAACCATAGTTATTGGAGTTATAAACCAACTTAGCTAACTATGGGGCACCACCTTGTACAAATAAATGTCCATCATTTTGCCATCGAAATTTTGCTGGTGATGATGGTCACATATGGTCACTAAACGGAAAAAACAGCATGAAAATCAAGCATGGCTGCATGCACGAACCAGATAATGAGGAGCTGAGCTGACTTGTCCAGAGGGATTTTGCGGTTATGGGCGATGGAGGTTCATTACCTTCTAGGAAATTATGGAAGACCCACCCTATCCTACTTGTCCTACTTGGAATGATGGCCCCACTTGATTTTCACAAATTCTGGTTGCAAACCACCGACCAGATTTGCTTTGTCCGGAAACTGGGTGCCCAAAAACTTTATCATAAGTGTCGCATGAAAGTGGCGAAGCTATGCGTGCCATGTTTTGAGACCATTTTCTCATTCTTTTGATGTTAAGGATATATTGCTGGTTATACATCCCAGTACACTTCCATTTTAGTGGGTTGAATACGAATCTAACATCATCTAACCCAGTATAAATACAGATATCAGCACACATTATAACATTAAATATACATATATATATATATCCATGCATATATCTGCATGATATCCCAGAATCTCCGGCACCGTCAGGATTGAAGATCAACTGGCGGATGTCGAAAAGGACAGCAGCAAATTTATCATGAAACGCTGTACTAAGATCGAGGTGGGCAAAGCTCAAGGCTGCGACCCCGACGTCACCGTTGTGGTGCGATGTTGTTCCCAGGTTTTTCCAATTTTGGAGACTTCGGAAAACCAAAATCACCAAACATGTCAAGTGGGTTCAACAAAAAGACATCTTTGGAGTTATGCTTGGCAAAATGCCAATATGATAATGAGTATTGGAATGTATGTAAATATATCTCTCTCTCTCTCTCTCTGTCTCTCTCTCTCTCTCTCTAACATTTTCTGAACATTTGAATTTTTCGGGAATCCCGAACTGTTGGATTCCGTTCTGGGTCTTTATAAAGGGGCCGGACAGGTAAGAGCGGTTTTGATGGAGAAATCGGTGATGTTCAAATTTTCGTCCAGGGCAAACAGGCTGGATCTCAGGATTTTGGGGCCGGTGTTGTGTCTTTTTTACAGAGGAATCTTGCCTATTCCAATGATTTGTTTGTTATGGTAATATTGTTGTGAACAGAATTCAATGAATGGTTATTCCAAGATATTCCAATTATTCTGACACAGAATGTTATGGTGAACAGAATCTCTCTCTATGTAATTAATATAGTCGCTGAATGGCGCCAGCCGCTAGTGCAAGTCGCTGAGTCATTATCTTACACGTGGCATCACCTGGCTGTTTTGCCGTTGATCCATGCAACAAGTTCTATTCTCAGCAAATGTCCAACGTTGAAAAATAGATGAATTTCCTAAAACCGCGAATCCTTCACAAAATCAAATTCACTGGGCAGCAGGAAATTAGACAATTTAGGCGCGACATCCACTGCTGGCTGAACAGAAACAGTTGTATGGCTCGGAATCCGGGCGTTGTTGGCTTACACTATAGCCCTAGTTAGCCCCCATTCAGTGACTTATCCCACTGTTCTCAATGGGTTATGCCGGTGAAGTCGCTATACAGTTACTAACGTGGTAAATCCAATAAGAAGCCATCCTGAATTGTGTTCATTCCTTGCGTTATCCCTCCACAACCTCGCATGCGCACGGGATGTTGGCTCGTTGGTGCACGGGATGTCCCTTCATCAAGTGCATGACCATCATCCTCATCATCATCGCCATCATCATCACCCTCAACAACAACATCATAATCTTCTTCATCCTCATCAACATCATCACCGCGATCATCATCATAATCGTCATCATCATCATCGTCATCATCATCATCATCACAACAGTTATCATGATCACCACCATCATCCTCATTTTCATCAACGAAATTGTCATCGTGACCATCATCATCATCACCAGCACCACCTTCATCACCATCACCATCATCATCTTCGTTTTTCCTTATCCTCATCATAATCATCTTCAACAGCAGCATCATCAGCATGATCATCAACATTATCATGATTAACAATGATCATCAACATTATGCATGATCATTGTGGCGCTGGTCACGGTGGTGTTGATGAATCATCATTTTCATGACCAGCATCTCTATCAATGTTAAGTTTGTTGTCATAAACAACATCTTTTGCACCTGGTCATGATCGTCATTTGCCTGTGTGTAAAAGCTTCAGTGTAAAAGGACCTCTGTGTAACGGCGTCTCTGTGTAAACCTTTCTCATCCTTTCTCTGTGCAATAGTTTGTGTACAAGCTTCTCTCTGGAAAAGCTTCTTTGTTCCTTCCCCCTGTTCCCCCGCTTTTCCATGTTTCCTCCTTGTTCCCCTAATTGAGATACCTTAAAGTTGGTTTCGTTTATGATGATGGGAGACACTTTAGAGTTCGTTTATCATTTGAGACCTTGTTCCCCTAATTGAGACACCTTCCTGTTCCCTTGTCCTTGTTCCCCCGTCCCCCACCTGTTCCCCTGTTTCCCCCTGTTCGGGACACCTGGAGGTCTGTTCCCTTGTTCGCCCTCTGTTCCCTTCCCTGTTCCCCTCTTCCCCCCCTGTTCCCCCAATTGACAGACCTAAAGGTTGGTTTCGTTTATGAGACCTTCCCCTACCTGTTCCCTCCCGGTTCCCTCCCCTTTCCTAGTTCCAAACCTAAAAGGTGCATCCATGGAGTCTCGTTTCTTGTGCGCAGATGAGTCTGGGGTCCTGTGCGCCGATGAGCCACTTTGATGTGCGCAGATGAGCCCTATTCCTTTTGGGATGATCCAAAATGATCCCCAAGTCATGGTTGGCGAATGGTTTATGGTATGTGATGTGTGAAGCAAGTGTGGTTCCTAACCACTGGCATGGGTATATACAGTAGCTAATCTCGTAATTCCACCAGCTAAATCACATGATCAGTCAGGATAGTTAGGTGAACTAAACAGTTACGGGTCCCAATCGCCATGGAATCGAGGTCTTTGGTCCATCGTTGGGCAGCTACGACTTGGCTCACGGAATTGCCCCAACAGGGTCCTCGGACAGCCACTGGGGACGTTTCTATGGCGCCACTGATGGCCTTGAAGACAGGGTGCCTTGGGAAAATGTGGAGAAAAAGGACGTTTCTCTATGAAAGTTGGTGGAACTTATGGGATATTCATGGGAAATTTGGACAAACCAGATACTACATGATACTGCCCATCTCCATTCGGATGATGCACATTCAAGTGGCCATGTTTTTTGATGTCCCGGCTGAAATTGCCGCCAGGTTTGGCATTCGAAAAATTGGGAGCACCCGAGCTACCTGACTTTGGAGCTCGCTGTGCCATCCAAAATTGATGGGATGAAGATCCTCACGCCGCATCCTGGTTGAAGATCCCCTTTCCTGCGGGAATAGTAGGAAAGGAATCGGATGCGTTATGGTCTCCAAAAATCCGTGCTACACCTAAACTATCGTAAATTCATGAAAATGCCCAGGTGAAAGTGGCGATCTTCGCTGTTATCTCAGATCAGACCAAAATTTATTGATGGCCACTCCGTGAGGTTTCCACCCTTGAAGTTGAAGAAGCAGCCAATAGTGGGGTGGTCAACCATGAGATGGGTAGTTGTGGGCGATTAATAAAGTAATGACTTGGAGTGATCCCCGCCCTGACACTTATTTGTCATAGGAAATGAATGTGTCATAATTAATCTTCTGACATCCTTTCTGCTGGCATCCTTCCTGGCATCTATTCTGACTCTGTCATTTTCTTTGGCATTCTTTCTGATATTCTATCTGGCATCTATTCTAACTTCTTTCTGGCACCTTTTCTGGCATGCTGTCTGGCATTATATCTCGCATTCGGTCTGGCATTCTTTTTGTCAATTTATTCCCCACCTGTCAGACGAGGGTTGTTAGATTTTATGTCAGCCTGCCTGCCTCCCTCCTCCTTCGTCCGCCGGACCTCAACTGCAAGCTCTAGATTGCAATTTTCCCCGCCGGACAGGAACAGCAACCTCTGGATCAAAGTGATCCCATCGGACCTCATTTGCAAGCTTTAGACCGCAGTGGGACCTCAACCGCAAGCTCCGGATCAGAGTGTTCCCCGCCGGACCTCAACCACAAAGAATCTCCGAAGATATGCCAGATAGAATGCCAGAAAGAATGTCAGAAGATATGCCAGATACATATGCCGGAAAGAATGTCATAAGATATGGCATATATGGCAACTGCATTTCAACCCAAAGATACTGAGGGTTGTACTAGAGCACGGAATGCCTTGAAATGCCATGGTGGGAATCACTCGAAGTAAAGTAATCTGCATTTTTTTCGGCGTTCCATCCGGCACCTATTTTGTCTAGCCCACTGAGATCTGGCGCTCGCGGTTGATGTTTGGCAGTTCCCACTGAGATTTGGAGCTCACGGTTGAAGTCCGGCAGTACCTCACGGTTGAGGTCCGGCAGTGCCCACTGAGATCTGGAGCTCATGGTTGAGGTCCGGCAGTGCCCGCTCAGATCTGGAGCTCCCAGTTGATGTCCGGCAATTCCAACTTTGACTGGAGTTGCCAAGGTGTTGAATCGGTTGAATCTTCAATTCCGCTTGTTGAGATTTCGCAAAGTCCACATTGAAAAATGCTGTCTTTCTTTTGGCTGATTGATCAGCCATGTGTCATGTGACATGTTGAATTTCAATGTTCATCAGTTGTAATTCAGTGCTTCGCCCGGCACAACTTCAAGATGTGGTGAGGCTCAACCATCTGAACTACGGATTCAAGACTTTAGAAATTTTTCGAAGCTCGGCTGCAATCATTGCCTGGTGGCGGTGAGATCCTGATGGTTAACCCATTGATAACGTAGGGGATGGCAAGGGGGTGGGGTTAAGCTAAAAAGGAAATGGTCTAATGACATGAACATACCACTGTTTAAATGAGAGAAGGAGGGAGGGAGGGAAAGAGGAGAAGGAGAGACAGAGAGAGGAGAGGGAGAGAGGGCGAGAGGAGAGGGAGAGAGGGGGAGGGAGGGAGGGAGGGAGAGGGAGGGGGCGAAATGGGGGACGGATACGCCATCAAACCTCATGATACATGTGCATGTACACATACAGATACAAAGGGATAGATGATAGACAGATGACATTTGACCCTTTTTGTCAGAGCCAAGGCTTCAAGGCGATTCTTCGGGGGCCCTTGCAAAGTCACTATTCATGGTGGCCAATATCCACTCGTAATCTTTGATGTGGGCGTTTGAGGTTCCAGTTTGTTTCAAAATGTTTTCATGGCAAGGGTTTAAACGACGTCAAGGGTCATCATGTTTGGGATGGACATCCACAACTAGCAACCAAAATTTGAACAATGCTGCCTAAAAGTTCAAACAGGAACGCCATTTTCCAATCCCACTTCTCGGGTTGCATTTTTTTATGTTTGTCGGTGTTTCATTCCATCAAGCATGCCACAAATTTTGACATGGGGCCGAGGTTCCGATGATGGAAAGTCTTGGGACCTGGTGCGGTCCGACACGGTGAACGAATGCAAGAAACCTGGATTTGCTAAGACGGTGGTTTTTCAAGAAGCATTTTCACAATGGTCCATTCACCAAGTGACTGGGGACTGCCGACTTGTTGTTTAGTGTTTGACTTTCTGATGCCTAAGCACCAACAAAAAAATCAACCAACACATCATTGAGCATGAGAGTTTTCCTCGTTTGAGTGACTTGTGAAACATGTCCATAAGGTGACTTTGAGCAAAGCAACATTGATCATTGCACATGTTTTCTTCCAAAAAGTGAAACAATTTTTGCAATTCGCAGGTCTGTAGTCACAGCTGCCACTTGCAGTAGAGCACCCGAATGAGTCATTTGGCTCGAAGATTCCCACGGTTTGACCTAGAATCCCCACCTGTGAAGGTCATCATGGATGTGGTTCCCCATGCCAGGGACTCTGCACCACTGAAGGATGAAGAGAAGCAAAGGCTTCTCAGCGCACTGAATGATTTGGGTGAACCTGCGGATGATTCCGCAGGAACTGATCATGCCGCAGACAAAGTGCTGACGGCTGATGAGGATGCTGGAACATTTTGAAGCAGAATCAGATTGTTGCACGCAGTTTCCAGTCCTTTGGGGAATGCTTCGGGAAGAGATGAGGACCAGCAACCCTGAAGCGGGCGCCTCACAAGCAGCTCTTTTGGTTTTGGATGGTTCCTGTGAGCTTCGCTTGACACTTTCAGATGCCAAATTTACTGTTGAAGTGCCGCCCAATGCGCTGTCTTCTTTAGACGAATACCTGGATGAACAGGATGCTGGCTCGTGCCTCGTGATACCATTGTTGCTTGGCACGGTTTCCGCACCAAGTACATTCTTTCCAGTCTTTGATGGTAACAAGTTCAAAAACAGATCAGGCATTGGGACTTCCACCCCCCAAAAGTCTGTTTGTGTTGACTTGATGATGTTTGATGTAAGTTTCCAAATCACTTGGCGGTTCCAAGGGTGGAATGCCGTGAAGAAGGCAAGCGCACAGGTTTCCAACTTCAACGATTGGATGACATCAAAACGGCAATTTCCAGCCGCAGTCTGAACCCGTTGAAAACCGCACCAGTTCCTTCCCCTCATCTTGTTGCAGATGCTGCAATGCTGGCTGGCATGCACTGGCTGGAAATGGAGGATTTGGCAGTGCTGCATTTGCTTCGAAGATGTGGCCTTGTGGCAACAGGCTTTCCGGTCGATGAAGGCAATGATTTACACCGCTCCGGCAGCACTGTGCAAAGAAAAGAAAAAGATCGTGTTGAGGAGCGCAATCGTCTCAAAAACAGCTTCCACGGGGAACTGCTGCGCCTTTCCCGGGCGAAACTGCACATACAAAGAGGTGAACTCTCACCGTCCGATGAAGAAACGATGCGAGCATGCCTTGGATGAGAGGAGCCATTATTGGTGTGCTTCTGGTCCCCAGCCATACGCCTCAGAGCCATCATTGGCACTGCTTAACTTAGGAGACTTGCCAAAAGGCTGGGCGATCTCAAATCTGAGTGAAATGCCACTGGGACATCATTCACCTTCACAGACTTGGTAGGGGTTGCGACTGCTCATGAAACAGGACCTGCAAATCACACGCATGCTGCAAGGACAGGAGTCCTGGTCCGAGCTCTGGTAAGAGGTGGTTTACTCGCCTGCAGCAGCGCGATTCCCAAAGAATCTCCTGAGTCCGGAACAGAATGCTACATGCTGAATGTAGACCAAAGCGCCTTAGAGATGAACAAATCCCACGACAGGCAACATACCACCATTTTGGAAGAACACGCAAAGACATTGAACAGAATTTTAAGTTCCAGCCAGAGAGGGTCTTGCAAACAAGTAGATCTCTTTGAAAGGGTCCAAGAACTGATGCCACATGCGTTCACATTGCTGGGAGCGTCTCCATTGGTCACGTGGAAAAAAAACCATTGGCGGAACCTAGTTTTCCCTTGCAACCGAGCTTGGGAAGGTGTCTTGGCAAATACCTTCTGATCATTTTTATAATCTGAATTAGGCATCTAGTTTTTGGATTCTGGATTTTTTTGTGGGATGTGATTATGCGTTCTTCCTCTTTTTCTTCCTTTCCTCGGGGTAGTAACTTTCCTGGGCAAATTTGCCTCGTTTTGCATCACGTGGTTTCAGCCAAGGTCCTTTGAAGACCCACAGCAGAGAGATGTGGAAAGGGCCCACACTGATGAGATGTGGCACAAGCTGTTACTGTGGCTCCGGCGCGAAGACTATTCTAAATTGTATGCTTGGCTGGCCCGACAGGAAGACATGACTCACGTGATTCCAGGTGATCAAACGCTTCTTGTTGTGGAGCAATTCGAAAGAGTCAACGTGGCCAAGACATTTTGTCAGGTGGCGCGGATGGTGAAAGAGAGATTGAACACTGACGATTTCAGTGCGCAGTTGCGGTTGGAACTGTTGAAATTTGAAGGAGCGGACCAAATAGCACGTGCCACAAGCGCTCAGACACACATGTTGAGGGACAGTTGGGATGCCTTGACTTCCAAGATCGGATGTTCCAATGCAGAAGAACGACAAAGCAAAAAGGCCAGATTGTAGAATATTGATGAATCTCTCCATTTCGCCAAAAAGGGGCCGCGGTGCGAGTTAAGTTCACGTAGGTTCTCGTGTTGTAAGACGCCCACTCAGCGATCCAGTTTTTCATTTTAAAATTCTAAATCATGTTCATCCGTTTTGCAATCCACCAGGCATTCACCAGATATATGATTCTTTAAATTTTAAATAAATAAATATATATATATATAATTGATGATATATTTGGATCGTTTGGATGTTGCCATTTTTAGATTTTCAGTCGGCTTGCCATCCAAGGAAAGGACGCGTCAGTGAGCATGACGGCTGGGGACCGGTGACCAAATTCGTGCAGATCAAGATGAAAGACAGGTGGGGTATGGTCAACCACCTCGGTGTTTTCAGAGTTTTACTCATTTACTCCTTGCTCTTTTTTTGGATGTCAAAACTGCCATGTTCCAACGCCGGCAAAATCATGTCGAAGATGTTTTTTTGTGAAATGAGTGCTCCACAAAATGCTGTTGTCATGCAAGATATCCCTGTCACCATAGTATTGCTTAATTACCGGACGGTAAATTCTGTAAAACCCCGATGAAATCCCATTAGATCCATTTGCTGATGCTTAAACTATACCCTTTTTCTCCAAATCCCCCAGTTTTCATTCAAGTTCATTCATGTTCCATTTTTTCCAGCTTCTTTTTGGTGTGTTTTTCCAGTGTAAACCACCCAAACCACACAGCACCGCACAGGTGCGGTGGCGGAGCCTTCGCCATCGCTGAGTGGCAGGTCTTTGGAGTTCCAGCAGAGAACTTGGCCCAGGGCATCGTCCCCAGTGGATCGTCAGATTCCAAGTGGGGACGCTTTGCGGTCACTTGGACGACCTATGACGACCTGAAAGGATGCAGAAAGGATTTGAAATCCGAGTTTTTCGGGAATCCGACTATTTTTTGACTTGACTTTAGAACTTTAGTTTAGTTTGAAACATGTCTATTTTGGTCTAAGTGTTGTAGATTGTCATTTTAGTAGAAGATTTTAGGGGAGCCCTTTGGATTTACACCGGGGAGTCCTTTTGATTTGCACCCCCGAGTTTTCCAATCGCGAGTGGCTGTAATGATATGTGATGATCATTTGGAGTAAGTGAGGTCTTTCATGCTCTGTTTGTCAGAGGTATGTTGTTTTGAGCATTTCGCTACTTCGATCATCTTCGGTCGTCTTCGATCATCTCCGACCATCTTCGATCATCTTCGATCCTTTGCACAACATTCGTAGGGCGCCACTGACGGCAAGAACGATGGGGTTTGGCATGCTGGAAATGGTGACTACCCATCCAGCCTCACTTTGAACCTTGGCATCGCGACGGTTTAGGGGTCGACTTTTCGAGCCCTGAGTGGTGAACGCACCAGACGTAGACGTGAGAAATCATGAGAAATCTATGCCAATCTTTGAGCAGTCAAGAATTGGGAGAATTGAGTGGACATAGATTTTTTTGTGGGTTTGTTTTGCCCCAAGATGCCCCAAATATCACAGAAAGATTCCAAACATCTTGGAGATCCAGTTTTCACACAAGTCGTTTTTTTGGGCACACTGAGGAACTTGGGCTTAGCTACCAGCGTTTCAGGGATGACTTTGTTGACGCCTGCGGGTTCACCCAACTACGGTGCCACAGCTGTCAGATTTTAAGCTATAAGTGGTGACAAGTGACAAGGTTTTTTGCTTGATTTTGGCAGCGAAATGATGGTAAATTTTCATCCAAGACATCCAAGATGCCAATGTGCAAAGCTGCACTGGATACCAAGGATACCAAGATTCCACCAATATATATATATATATATAGATTATCACCATATAAATGATTCGAATGCAGACAGATAGGGGTCAATACCATTTTCATCGTCTAATTTCAGCCTCTTGATTTGCATCCGACAAAAGGTGCAGATTCAATACTCAAGCAGTGTTTCTGGTAAAGAATACAATATGCAACAAAAATGGATGGACAACATTGTGTGTGATTTTTCAGTTTTTGAACCCCATTGTGTTTTCCAAAGGAACCCCTTTATGTGCATATTTAATACTATCTATCTATCTATCTGTCTATCTATCTATCTATCTATCTATTTATCTATCTATCTACCTATCTATCTATCTATCTATCTACCGATCTATCTATCTATCTATCTATCTATCTATCTATCTATCTATCTATCTATCTATCTATCTATCTATCTATCTATCTATCTATATTATCCATCTTATCTATCTATCTATCTATCTATCTATCTATCTATCTATCTCTCTCTCTCTATCTATCTATCTATCTATCTATGTATCTATCTATCTATCTATCTATCTATGTATCTATCTATCTATCTATCGATCCATCCATCCATCCATCCATCCACCTATCCACCTATCCACGTAGATGCGCAGGGGGACAATCCAAGAGTTTTTAATACAGTGTTTCACAACATTGTCATTGATTTCACAGAAGTCATCATCGTTTCAGAGAAGCCGTCATCGATTGCACAGACGGTGTAATCGTTTTACAAGCCCCCCTAACAACGGAGATTGTTTTTCCCATTTGGATCGATCACTTCACCCTGGAATCTTTGGCCTTTCGAGGCTTTAAGAGCTTGAAAATCATGCGGTCCATGGATGGAACCAGCTGGACAGCTGTGCGCACAGATTCCATCAGTGAATGCACAGCTTCGCGGTCGCGACTTGGTTGAGAAGCGGCCGAGTAGCCATCTCAGGCATGGGAAACTGCACGATCCCACAGCATTTTTTTTACAAAAAATGACCGGGGAGCATTGACCCGCAGAATTTTGGACTTACAAGTAATGGATTAATTGCGGAACAGCGATTTTGGGGCGCGAATAGTCGAATAGTTTTTGCCTCTGGTAGGATTTTTAACATGTTTTGTTTTTGGCATTTGAAGACATCAAAAACAAATTGCCTTGGCATTTGGGAGATGTGGGGCTGCAGCCTTCAGAGGTTGGCCAAACTGGGCAAGTTGAGGTCTTTTCACCCTGGCTGGCCCGAGAAGACCAAATACGTGAAGATCGAAATGTCTGCCGCTTGGTCTGGCTGCGGGCCTCACTCTTCAGCGTTGACATTATATTCCTGTCCTTGGGTGAGTTCTTATAGGGGGTCCTGGGGCCCCAACCAAGTTTACTTTTAATTGATATTGCTTGTGTTGGGGCACCCCAAATTTCAGACAACGTATGAACATGTTCATTTAGGACCTGGTTATTGTTTCATAAACGTGAGGGAATGTCAGGAGTCAGCGCACAAAGCAAGGCGGTGTGGACTTGCAGCGATGGTTTCCAGGGATGGTAACACTAGGCTCATGTAGCAAATGCTAATCCCGAACTTTCTGCAAGGTGACAGCTCCCAAACAGCTTGGTTCAACGGAGTTTTCTGGTCGTTTTTTGCTGGGTGGTGCGGGGTGTATGACATTCATACTTTGTTGGGGCTGCTCCGGGCTCCATCACCAAGATGGGGGACGTTTTCCCAGTGAAGTCCACATGGGAAGTTTGCTGTAGGAATAAGAATATGTTTCCTGTTTTTCCATACGCAACTCCAACTTTTCCCATGTTACTCTCAGCCAAGGAAAGGTGTGGTGGTGCCCACTTCGCGGTGGTTGAATGGCAGATCTTTGGTACCCAAGACAAATGCAAAGGCAAACTGTTGCCTGAGAGTAACGATCGCAACTCTGCTTCGGGTTGAGGATGGTGGGGATGGCAAAGTGCATGTGTACCCCTTTTTTACCAACATATGTTCAGTGAACATGGGTGAACATTGATCATTGATGAACATGGGTGAAGTGTTGAGACAGACACGCCCACATTTCTGCAATACTAACCTGCCATCCATTGATTTTTGGTCGCTCCGTCTTTTTCAAACTTCTGATATTTGCCCGCCGCGAGAAGATTCTTTTTTTTTGTCCTCCTGTCCTTTAACACTTCCATCATATATGGCCGTGCAGGCTAGGTCTTTAAGTCTTTGGCCTTTAAAGCTGCAGGCAAAGTGCAGTAAACTCCATTGTACTAGTCACTATACATGACTATACCCAATGTGCCACGTTGTACCATTTGAATCCATTTGAGAGGTTTTAAAAATCATATCCCAAAAATGATTTTTTCGATTCATGATGTAATGTGCATACTTTCATTTGATAGCCACCGTTCTTGAATTTGCAGGCGTACCACATTATATACCTGAATCACGTTCTACTGGATTTTCATGCTAGCAGATTTTACACCCCCAACCTTGACATGGAAAACATGAGAACTCACACTTTCCAAGCGGAAATTCATTGTGCAGCACCCCAATTTTTTTGGAAGGTTTCATGACGTTTGTTTGAAAAGAGGGTGCCCAAATCCATGGGTTAGTCAAATAGCATGTTTTTTAAAGGGGTTGTAGTCTCGGTTGGCATACCTCATTTTCAGACACACCTGTTTCATCCAGAGGTTTTCTAGATTTGGGCCTCAGGATTCCCTTGCGACAGCATCAAGGATGAGACAACTTGCCGAAAGAGTTGCTGAGCGCTGGGCGGAACCAGTTGGTGATGTTCTTCCGGGAAATCCATCATGTGGGGAATCTATAAAATTCTACTTTGCAAGTCGACAATATATATCAAAATCCCAGTCACTGTGGGTATTTTTTTTTCGCCCAACACTTAACCATCCATTTTGGAGAGATTGCTGAGCAACAGCCACATGAACATATTGTTTGAAGGGCAGCCTCAAATAGAATCCAAGCATCAACGGTGAATCCAATTCTTTGGTTCATGGGATAGTTTTGGATGGATTGTTTCATTTGTTTCTAAGTGGTTCGTGTTCGAAATTTGGCTGGTGTCAGTTCTGTATATTCAAACATATTCAAACTGTGACACAGTGACAATGGAAAATCAATGAGAATCGCATGTCACACCACAATTACCATGTGAATCATGTGAATCCATAACTGGAAAAACGTTATAAAAATGGGCAAATCACATGGTTGGATTCCATTGTTGTTGCTGAAAGGGTGCGAATCATTGTGAATCTCATTCATCCCATCCCCAGAAAATATTCAACACCACCGAGAAACCATGGCCTAAACATGCAGGTAATAGGAGATGTACACATCTGTACACATATTTGGGGATGATGAGAGAAGCGTACCAGTAGTACCGCACAAGGCGGTGGCGGAAGTTTCAACAATAGGAAACCTATAGGAAAGGTTGGTTGTTGTGAATCACGGATGGCAGAGCGAAGCCACTGATGGATCGAAAGGTGATTGATGTCTCCTCTCTTTCTCTCTCTTTCTCTGACTATCTACCTACCTACCTACCTATATATCTACCTATGTATCTATCGATCTATCTATCTACCTATCTTTCTATCTATTTATCTATCTATCTATCTTGCCAAGCCCGTGTTTGGCTTAAGACTGGTGGGGGGGGGGGGGTGCACGGCAAGGTGCTAAAATTTCAAAAATAGGTGCTCAAATTTAAGGAAATAGGTGTTTTTTTGAAGAAACCGGGTCGGGATCCAGTCGGGGACCCAGTCGGGACCCAGTCGGGACCCAATCGGGCACCAATTTTTGCATTTTTGGGCACCGCTTTTGGCCAGTCGGGATCCAGTCGGGATCCAGTCGGGCACCAATTTTCGAATTTTTGGCACCACGCTTGGACCTGTCGGGAAGCAGCCAAAATCACCGAAAAACATGCAAAAACACTGCAAAAATGCAATTTTTTATGAATTTGGCTGCCTCCCGACATTGCCCGACTGGATCCCGACTGGATCCCGACTGGATCCCGACTGGCCAAAAGCGGTGCCCAAAAATGCAAAAATTGGTGCCCGACTGGGTCCCGACGGGATCCTGACTGGATCCATAGATTGGCAAGAACCCACTCCCGCACCTATTTTTCCCTCCCAGACCCACCCTTGCCCCTATTTTCCTTTTCCGCGCACCAGCCGTGCACCAATACCCCCCCCCCTCCTGCACCAAAACGGTAAAAGCAGTCTTAAGCCAAACGGGGGTTCTACAATATCTATCTATCTATCTTTCTATCTATCTATCTACCTATCTATCTATCTATCTATCTATTTACCTATGTATCCATCTATCCATCTTTCTATCTACCTATCTATCTATCTATCTATCCATCCATCTATCTATCTGTCTACCTGTCTTTCTGTGGTGCAGTGTCATTCAGTGTAAGGTAGTGTTGTGTAATGTAGTGAAGTGTAGTGGAATGTAGTGTAGTGTAGTGTAATGTAGTGTAGTGTAGTGTAATTTAGTGTAGTCGAGTGTAGTGGAGTGTAGTGGAGTGTAGTTGTAGTTGTAGTGTAGTTGAGTGTAGTGTAGTGCAATGTAGTGAAGTGTAGTGGAAGGTAGTGTAGTGTAATGTAGTGTAGTGGAGTGTAGTGTAGTGTAATGTAGTGTAGGTGTAGTGTAGTGTAATTTAGTGTAGTGGACTGTAGTGGAGTGTAGTGGAGTGTAGTTGTGCAGTTGTGCAGTTTTAGTTGTAGTGTAATGTAGTGATGTGTATATAGTGTAGTGGAGTGTAGTGTAGTGTAATGTAGTGTAGTGGAAGGTAGTGTAGTGTGGTGTAATGTAGTGTAGTGTAGTGTAATGTAGTGTAGTGTAATGTAGTGTAGTGTAGTGTAGTGTAATTGAGTTTAATTGAGTGTAATTGAGTGTAATGTAGTGTAGTGGAGTGTAGTGTAGTAGAATGTAGTGAAG